CCAACTGGGCTGTTAGTCCCCACTCCCTGCACCATCCAGTGGGGCTGCTTCACATGCATGTGTCTGCTGGTGAGAACTGCACTGTCCCAGCTCCACTGCCTGCAGGAGTCCATTTTCCTCTGGAGACTGCTGGTGCACACAGGGTAGGGAACCTCCCCACATCCAGACCCTGTCCGTGAGTCTCCCCTGCCCACGTGTCTGTTTCCTTTGGGAACCAAGACAGTCACTCTGGCCCAGAAGACCCAGACCCTGGAGAGAAGCCTCCACACTCCCAGGGGGCCACAACAGATGGCAGGGACAAAGAGGGGGATCCTGTGGTATCCAGGAGGCACGGACTCAGGGGCAGGGTTCAGAGCAGTTCTGTGGGGAACAGAAGCAGCTCAGTGCTGGCGGCACCTGTGAGTGGTCAGTCAGGGGCAGAGGCCAGAGACCTGGATCCGAGCAGGTTCAGTGGCCAGGCGGAGCTGGGCTCGCTCCTGTCCTTGTCCTTGTCCATGGGTGAGGTGTGAGGGGAGGGTCTCCGACCCCCAGCCCCATTTAGATGTCCAGTTCTACCTCGAGGGAGATGCCAGCCCCCACTGCCCAAGGTTGACATGGCCACACAGCTTTGGTGAATACTTTTAAGTATTTTTAAAAGTAGTAGCAGTGCTCCAAGGCTGGGGTGTAGGTTCTGGGGGCAACCTGGTCCCGAGGCGGCCCTCTGTGTGCTGGCAGCACCAGGGGCCTGAGCTCTCCCCCTGGAGGGAGACAGAGGTGGGGATGTGGCCTGGATCTGGCCTGGATTCCCGGCGGGGTCTGGCGGGCGGGCTGGGGTAGCCACACCGGCGACAGGCTGGTCACCACTTGAGGAAAACCATGGCGGCCAGGATGGCGTAGCCCAGCACCAGGAAGAGGACTTTGAGCAGCCGGTCGCTCTTCTCCTCCAGCTCCTTGGCCAGGATCTCAAAGAAGGTGACGAAAAGGAAGGTGCCACCTGCCAGGCCCTGCAGCAGCACCGAAGCCACGCTGCTGGGCACACCCTGCGCACTCTCGATGCCCAGACCGATGCTGATGCCCAGGGGGATCATGGCGCTCACGGTGATGGCCAGCTTGGCTGCGTCCCTCAGGGGCATCGCACTCCTGGCCATGCTGATGCCCAGGGCCACAGCCACCAGTGTCTCGTGGATGGCTACCCCCACGAACAAACTCACCACCTTCTCCCCCTCCTCCTGCAGGCCCAGGGCCAGGCCCTCAAAAATGGAGTGGGCTGACAGGGCAAAGACCAGGCTGAGCAGCCGCAAGGGACTGGAGCGAGACAGCTCCTGGACGCTCAGCCCGTGGTGGCTGTGGGTGTGGGGCTCCACGTAGAGCCCATGGCCCCGGCTGCCCCCCATGAAGGGGCTCTCGTACTCTGAGTCGCTGCCAGCGTCTGAGCCGGCGTTGAAGGTCTCTAGGTCGATGAAGGACGGCTTCTCCTTGCGGAAGGTCAGGACAAGCTGCTCCAGGAAGACGGTCATGAAGAAGCCCAGCATCATAATGGTCTCCGCCAGCGGGTAGTCCGTGCTGATGTGTCCGAGGCTCAGGACTTTCTGCAGCTGGAGCGGGGCACAGGGACAGAGGGAGGGGAGAGGGAAGGAGGGGCGCTCAGAGGCGGGCGGCTGGGACCCCTCACCACCACTCAGCAGATGTCACCAGAAATACTTCACATGAGACAGATTTTAAAAGGGGGGAGTGGGCCTCCCCGGTGGCGCAGCGGGTTGAGCGCCGCGCTGTGAAGCTGTCCGCAGCCTCTGCAGCATGGGTTCGATTCCCGGCTGGCCAGGGAGATTCCCACATGGCGCGGCAGACCTCTCCTGTCTCGCCCGCTGCTCCCCCCAGCAGTGTCTTTGGTCCTTCTGCCTGTTCTGCTCCCCACTCTGTCTCTGGTGAATCCTCTCACCCTCCTGCGCCTCTGGCCTGTACCCCAGCTCTTGTATAAAAAAAAAAAAAAAAATATATAACTAAAAAATAATAATAAAAAAATAAAAAGGGGAGAAGGCAGCTCCTCCCTGATGACTGGGACAGGGAATCATGGGGCTTCCCATTACATCTTCTACATCAACCAAATAATATAAAAATGAATAGTGGGCTGAACTGTGGTCCCCAAAAGAGATGGCCACCTGCAACCTCAGAACACGCCCTTATTTGGAGGCAGGGCCATGTTAGCTGTAATTAAGGTGTCCTAGACTGGGCAGCGACTGGGAGCGACCGGCCTGGCCGACACACTGACCTTGGACTATTATGACTTCAGCTATCCTTTCTCGCCCGGATGCCTATCTGGCATTTGCTTCCATATAACTCAGTGGTGTGAGCTCTGCTTCCCATCAGTTCCCATCACATCAAGCTCCTGGGTGAACACGCTGAGAACCACCATATTTGGCTATACCCCAAGGGAATCCTCCAAGTCAGGGCTGTCCACTAGAAGCTTCTGGACAAGGAAAGCATTCTTTACCTGAGCTCTGTGTTACAAAAGGCACACCACCCATGTCCGCTGAGGACGTGAAATATGCCTGATGTGGCTGAGCACTAGAATGCTGCGCTGTATTTCACTGTGATTCACTGAATGCTGACAAGCCATATTCAGCGAGCGGCTGCCACGTCGGAGAGTAATGGTAGGTGCTGTCTAGAGAGGTGAGGGGTAGGTCAGTTTACCTGGACTCCTAGCGCGCTGCATACATTGAGCTCTTTCTAGCTTTTGGAACTCAGAACTTGCCAGTGGCTCTGTTAGAATGTTCTTCCTCCCCAGTGTACAACCAGCTGGCTGATCTCATGCTTCAGGTCTTGGCTTATGTTAATTTCCAAGTACGCTATTTAAACAGATGCCCTGGCCCCTCCCTCCAACTGACCGCACCCACTTCTCTCCCAGCACGGCCTTCACTACACACTCACACAAGGCTCTCCACCAGGCCAGTCTGGGCCATCCAGAGGACAGCCACGAGGTCTGGCCACCTTGGCATCATGGGGTGCTGATGCTTGGGAAAGGTAATCATGAGGTTGACTAGTATCCCTGGTCCCCACCCACTCAGTGCCAGGACATCCCCAGTCATGATAACACAGATGTCCCCAGACACTGCCCAGTGTCCCCTGGGGGCAGAGTCAACCCGGGTTGAGAGCCCTGTACAGCAACAGGCGTGTTTCCGTGGAGAAATAATTGCGCTATTTACTAACCCCCACGTGGAGTCCCGCGTGTGCCTCTCGGGAAGATACCAACTCAGAAAAAACACTAGCTACCCCTAAGGGGATGAACATGGTCAGGAAAGATGAGGCTGACACATAAGAGTCACAGATTGTGTCCTGTACTCTGGAGTGCAAGGCAAGCACTGTCAGCCAGGGCTGAGGGAGGGCTAGGAGGGAGACCTTACCCACCAAGGCATGGGAAGGCTGCGAGCAGGGGCATGGCATGGAAGTGCTTTGGGGGGATCGTGAGAGGGCCATGTGTGAAGAAGGGGCCTGCTGTCCAGACCTAAGGCAGGAGGATGACGAGGGGTGATACTGTGGGAATGCAGGGAAAAAAGCGGGGGGTGGGGACCTAAAGAGGTGCTTGGCATGAGGAAGGCATCAGAGGACTCTGAACCATGGTCAGTGCCACTGTATGGGTTTTCCGTGCTGTGTAATGAAGCAACCAGCTCAGCAGCAGCAAACAACACAGATGCATCCTCAGGGCTCTGAACACGAGCAATCTGGTCACAGCCGAGGGCTGCCTGCTCAGGGCCACGTCCATCTTAAATGCAGGTGTGGTCTGGGGTGGGACCTCACCCAGACCCCAGGTCCACTTACAGGATCCCTTGGGGTGGCAGGATCTGATTTCCTATAACTGTAGGGCTGAGGACCCTATTTCCTGGCAGGACACTGGCAGGGGATTGCTCTTGGCTGCCAGAGGCCCCCCTCAGTTTCTCCCCTGGCATTCTGCTCCTTGCAGTATGGCCTCTTGCTCTCATGAGGCCAGTAGGTGCAGGCCTGCTGCTGTTTCTGGTCTCTCTTATAGGCTCACCTGATTAGGCCAGACCCACCCAATCACTCTCCCTTTGATGAACTCAGTGTCAACTGACGAGGGACCACAATCACATCAGCAAGATCCCTTCTGCAGGATAACTTGCACTAACAGTGACATCTCATAGCTACAGCCACCCCCCCCACCATGCTCATGGGGATGGTAGGGTATATAGGGCATGCCCACCAGGAGCTAGGAATCTTGGGTTACATTTGAATTCCACCCACCACACTAACAACTTCCAATGAATAAATCCCAGATGACACCTTCCTTCCTTGATACCCAGCACATGGAGAAAGGATGTGGTGGTAAATCTAGGATCTCCTTGTTTCCATGGGGAGCAGAGCAGCAAATCCTGACTGTTCGCCGAGCACATGACCTAACACAAATCCATCTCCATATCAAAACTGGCCAAGAGAGAGAAGTGTACAAAGGCCTTCCAGCTATGCCCTTCAAGGGAGTCATGTTGGGTGCCAACCTGGGGGCGCTCAGTACAGGTCACTGGAGGACTATGTTAGGATGGCCTCCAATGGTCCCTGCCTCCCGCTATCCATGCCGCACGTGGCCTCTCCTCTTGAGCACGGGTGGGGACACACTACAGCAAAGAAAATACTACAGCAGAGGGACTGCTATCACTGAGTCACACAAGTCTGTAATTTTTGTCCTACAGGCAGATTCCACTGTGGTCTCAGCTTGGCGATAAAGAAAAAAGGTCATGATGGGGAGGCCCGGGAGGCAAGGGCCCGAAAGCAGTCCCAGCCAATAACCAGGGAGAAACTAGGCCCTGAGTCTGGCCACTGGAAAGGAAATGAACCTTACCATAATCATGTGAGCTTGGAAGCCTATCTATCTCCAACCAAACCTTGAGATGAGACCACAGCCCAGGGGACACTTTGCTGCCTCATGAGAGCCTGGACACAGCTGCTAAGTAAGCCATGCCCGGTCTCCTGACCACCAGCAGGAAGTGTTTACCATAGAAACTGTGAGACAATAAATGTGTGCTATGTTATGATAAAGGACCTCTGAAGGGGCAGGACCACCAGCCCCTGGAAAGTGTAAGCTACCTGGGGGGGTGATCTTGCTGGCCCCCCAGCAAGACTAATGAGCCCACCAGCTGGGAAGCCCAAGTCAAGAATCAATCCACCCACAAGAACAGCAAATTCCTTTCCTATTTTCATTGTCCTCATAGAGTCAAAGACCCCCCCTAAGCTCGGTGTTAGCCTTAAAAGACTATCAGAGAGCCTTGGCTGTAGGTGCCATGGCTGCTGCCACCAGCACTTACCTTTTCCCTCACAGCTGGCAGTAAAGCATTGAAGCACGTGGCCAGAAAGACTCCGCCTCCAAAGGTGTTGCAGAGTGAGAGAATCTTCTTTGAGCGGTGGGCCTTCTCAAAATCAGTCTCAATGATCTTCACAGGCAGCAGGGAGCCAAGCAGCATGAAGAAGAATACCCCCACCATGCACAGGATTTTGGCCACCAACAGCTTCATCATGGTGGCGGCCCAGGCTGCTCCAGTCACTGCAGGGCCAAACCATGTGTGGATGCACACTCCCAGTCCACGCTGTGCTACCGGACGCAACTACGCAGCTGGGTGTTCATGCCTCAGACCAGCCACTGTGAATGCCAGGGACAACCAAGTTAGTCGTGAGATTAACTGAGCAGCTCAAGCAGCCAAGCCCATCACCCCTTTTCTTTACTCAATTCTGAGCTTGGCACACAACATTGCCTTTTTTTTTTTTTTTTCATTTTGTACATAACATTGCCTCTTGCAGAAAATTCTCCACTGTGACACTATCCAATATGACAGCTACAAGTCACAAATACCTGTTCAAACTAATTAAAATTAGATAAAATGTTGAATTCAGCTCTTTATCATTATGCCATATTTCAAATGCTCAGAAGCCATATGGGACTAGCAGCCCCTGTATACACAAAGAACATTTCCACCCTTGCAGAATGTATTATTGAATAGTGCTGCTTCAACCACTCCCCACTGCCTAAGGTGCTGTACCATCAGCTCCTGCTTCACCCACTCCATACTGGCCTTTGTGGTCCTTGAATGTGCCAAGCCCACTCCTGCCTCAGGGTATTTGCCTCAGTTCTCTCTGCCTGGGACACTTCTCTTCCCACCTTCCAATGTCTCATTTTCAATTCCCTTCTTCGAATACCCCTCAGAAGGACCTCCTGGCCAACCCGTGCCTTAAACTGTATCCCCTCTACCCACTAAGAGGCCTGGAGCAGAACAGGTGCTCTAATCGCTGGCTGAACGAATGGATGAGCAGAAGTATGTGGGTCTCTTTCCATGACTCAATGAGCCAACATAGAACACTCTGGGGCCCAAAATGCCAGTTAGTAGAGGGACCTTGGTTGCTCCCAGGTCCTAGGTTCTCCCATCCTCATCTTACAGCTCTTGCCCCCATTTCTTTGAGCTCTTCAAGTCTCAGCTCAGATCTCACCGGTCAGAGAACCCTCCCCAGCCCCTTCTCTGCTACTATTTTTAAGCACTATTTGCGCTATGGGAACGACATAACTTAAAGTCCTTGAATGTTATCTTGCTGGCAACTGCCAGCTCTGCGGGGGCAGGCAGTCTGTCGTGCTCAAGTTGGACCACCCAGCAACACCCAGCGCCGAGCCAAGCACACAACAGGCGCTCAGTCAAATCCCTGGCAGGTCTCTAGATGCCTCCTTCAGTCTGCGGAGTGGGGCGAGGGTGGCCTGGACTCTCAACCCAGGGGCTGACTGGCTGGGGCCGAGGAAGGATGGGGTAGTTGGCTCATTCATTCATTCGTTCGTTCAGCACTTACTGGGCGTCGTCTGTGTGCCCCGCGCGACACGGGCGCCTGATGCGGAGAGCGAGGCCAGCCTGGTCCCGGCCGGGAGGGGACGGCCACGCTCTGCTGGGGAAGCCGGACGCAAACCCACACGTCTCGCCCATGAAGGTGAATTCGACGGCGAGCGTCCGAAACCGGCGCCCCCGTCCGCCAGGCCATCGGCCGCCGCCCGCTCCGCCCCGGGCCCTGCCCGCACGTACCTCCCCAGGGCCTCCGCCCGCCGCCGCTCAACCGCCGCGCGGTCTAGACCCACAGCCACCGTCCCGGCCGAGGCCCCAGCTCGGCGCGCTGCTGCTGACGCCCCGCCCACGCCCGTGACCATTGGCCTCCGAGAGAGCCACGGGCCTAACGCGCCACACCATTGGACGCCGTGGCTGCCACTAATGCTGCGACCCCACCTCTCCGTTCTGCAGGGGAAAATAGTTCCTCCCGCTGCGCGGTACAGCCACCAGGTGGTTCCGGAGAGAAACTCTGAACTTAGAGGAAAGGTTCCGTGAGGTTTGGCTTGCAGAGCTGTCCAGGGGCACTTGGTGCTGAATCCCTCTCCAATCGAAGCTGAGCCATTGAAGGGAAACAATTTCCTAGAGGAGACTGTCCCTTTCTGAGCGTCCTAGATGCTAGTGCGCTTCCCATCAGCTTAAGAAGCAGATATATAGGGCCTCCCCGGTGGCGCAGCGGTTGAGCGCTGGGTTGCGAAGATGCTGCTTCCACATGGCGTGCAGAGCTCCCCTCAGCAGTGTACTTCGGTCCTTCTGCCTGCTCTGCTCCCCGCTCTGGCTCTGGTGAATTCTCTCACCCTCGCTTCTGACTGTACCAGTGCATGTATAAATAAAGCATGCCTCTATAAAAAAAAAAAAAAAAAAAAAGAAGCAGATATATAGATTCAGTTTCCCATACTTTGTGCCAGGACCTTTTCTAGAAGAACATTCATCAACAAAGCAAAGATCTCTCCCTGTTTGGATCTTATATTCTAGAAGAAGACACAGAAAACTGATAACATAATAAGTAAGGGAATTCACCATGTGCTGCTGAATGGAAAAATCTGCCAAAACCTTTCTTAGAGGGAACCCACGGATCCCACTCACTCACTGAACACCAACATCTGAATTCCATCAGTTTGTGGCCCAAGATGTCAAGTCATGAAAGGCAGAGAAATGCTTCCAGATCAAAGGAGGCTAAAAAAAAATGGACACGACAACCAAGTGCAATAGGTGGTTTTGGATTAAATTCTGTATTTTAAAGAATATGCTGTAGAGGACATCACTGGAACAAGGAACAAAATTGAATGTGCACTAAATAACTGGGGAAAAACTATTTCAAGGAATTGTGGACTATATAATCCCCATTTGTAAACAATGACAAAATACACATCATAGGGTTATTAATCACACAGAGAAAGATCTAAAAGTTTATAAACAAACTATTTATTTACAGTGCGATTGGGATGAGGGAGTAAGATGTGACTTTCCATTGTGTATTAAGGTAGAAGAAGTAGGACCAAGACGGTGGATTAGGAGGAACTTGTGCTTATCGCCTCACCAGAACACAAAAAATCTACACTTAAATAGACACTAAACCTCACAGAAGCAGACCTGAAACTCAATGACTAGAGCTTCCACAACAAAGGATAAAAAGGTAGCACCCAGAGGAGTGGGTGAGACAGAGATGCTCTTGCCAATGAAGAAACTGCATTTGCAGGGACATCGAAGTACAGTTGGGACATTTGTAATGTGCGGGACTTTTCCCTGAGGAGTGAGGAGAGGACTGTGTTTAACACCCCACACCCCAACCCTATGATCCAGAACAGTGGAGAGGAGCCCTTGGAATCCATGCACTGAGGACCAGAGGGAAGTGAGAGTAGGGAATTGGAAGAAAAGGTAGACACTAAGATCCAGCCCTCAATAGGCCCTTGAACAGACTCATTTGCCCTGGGACCTAAAGCAATAACACCAGTCTGAGCAATGCTTGTGCTCTGGAAAAGGAATCCCAGACACCAGCCTTATAGTGGAGGCCTGGGAGGCAAAGAACACTAATGAATAACCCCAGGTCATTGTCACCCTCAACAAAGTGGGTGGGCACCATCTTGGAAGCCACCCTCCACACTCCTAAATCCCAGAGCGAATCCCTGATTAGGCAATCCACCACCCACAGGAATTAGCCTAACTACTTGGTAGTTGAGAGATAACAATCAAGAGGGTCCCTCCCACACCCAGGGACAAGCAGGCCTAGCCCCTGCTGGCCGGCAAACAGGCTGGTTCCCACAGCCAAGAAGCACCCCACAGACTTGCAAAGCATGGGCACCTAGCTTTCTAGACAGATTATAATTTTTATTTATGGACTTTGGTGTTTGTACCTTATACTTTGATAAACATTTTAAGTACAGCAATGAGAGAGAGAGGCCTACATGAGCTTACAAAAGAACGAAGAACAGCTCGAGCTGGGCGGAATTTGTGGTCTGCACCCTTCACATTCACATTGAATGGATTCATACTCTCTGGCCCTATCACGCACTAGGCAACTTGGGGTGGCAGCCCCATCATAACACAAGTGACCACCAGAACGTCCCTGGTTGGGAGGGCCTATAATTTCAAAAGGAGGAGCACAATGCTGAACTCGAGGACTGGGACCGTTTCCGAGCTCACCCCGAGAGCTTTCAGGATTACATGCAACCTTATTCCTTCTGAGAGTGCCTTTCCGGCTACGAGGATGGAAGAGGTACCAGTGCGCCACCTGGTGGCTGAGCGGGCAATCAATCACCTCAACTTCTCTCCAGGGCCAGGAAGTGGGGAGTGGGGGGCGGGGGACGGGGCGGGGTGTGGAAGGAGTTTTGCTGCAACTCTTCGCAAATAATCTTTTTCTGTAAGGTGGGATGGATGGGAAAGCCACATTTGTTTTGGGTATTCAAGTTACCCAGGATGGTATAAAATCTTTGCTGGGCCTCCGTGGAGGCGCAAGGGGTTAAGAGGCAACCTATGAAGCTATCCACAGACACCACAGCTTGAGTTTGATTCCCTGCCAGGGAGCTACCCACATGGCGCAGCAGACCTCTCCTGACTCGCTTGCTGCTCCCCTCCGCAGTGGATTTCAGTCAATCTGCCTCTTCTGTTCCCACTGTCTCTGGTGAATCCTCTCACTCCCCACACCTCTGGTCTGTACCCTAGTTCTTGTATGCATAAATACTTAAAAAAAATAAAATCCTTGCTGTGTATAGCACATGAACAAATTATTTTTTCTGGTGGCAATATGGTTTGGGAAGTTCACGTTTGACACATCGATCCAGGGCCTACTGGGTGGTGGTAATACTGACATCTGCCTGGATCATTCTCTGGGGGCCCATCCTGGGTACTGTAGGGTGTCCAGTGACATCCCTGGCCCCACCCACTTGATGCCAGAAGCACCCCCAACGTGATAACCACTGATGTTCCCAGATATCACCTAGTGTCACCTGGGGAGCAGAACCACTGATTGAGCAGGTCGCTTCTGGGAAAAAGACAGTTTCTTTCTTGATGCTTCCTGAGACTAGATATGGGTGATTTGTAGTCTAGCACCCAGGAAGTATGTGCCAAGGTTGTGGAGACAGAGAAAACAAACCTTCATAACCCCATCTATGGCGGCAGTAACTGCCTTAAATTTTAAGCCTCAACCCACTCCTGGAAGCTATTTCCCAGTCATGACTTACCCTAATTCCGTATTTAATTTTTAGTATTTTTTTGGCTCAGTGCACCTGACAGGTATATTAAGAAATATCCTATTTCTAATTTGTGTGGGATCAAGTGGCAATTATCCATTACACACTTCTCATCAAGGTATTTAGAGCAGCCTTGGGCTTTGGGGATGAGATGTTGACAGTGGTTCTTCTTTCTTCTTTTTTTCCCCACTCCCAAGAGTCTCTGGACCTTTCCTGAACACTCGTGCTGGGTTGGGGATACTTTGGGAGAGGTTCTTTGGGTCCTACTGCTGATGGACAAACAGGACAGGAGGGAAGGAACAAAGGTTACCCAAGAAGACCTAAGCAACACATGCAAGCAGCTGCCGGAATATGTCGCTCATGGTCAGTGCTTCTCAAAGTGGGGTTCTCCCAACAGGTGCACCAGGATCACCTGGGCTGCTTAAGCAGGCCAGCAGCATGCACCAAGGACCCCCAGCTGCAATAGGCACAATGTCCCCTGACGTGGCCCAGTGTTTCCTGTTGACAATCACCACCCTACATGCATGAGGCAGAGACTAGTCAGCAGGAAGCAGGTGTCCTTGGGTGATTTCAGTGTGCAGCCCAGGTGGGGCCTCCTAACCCTCCCTACTGACCTGGGGGCCACCAGTCCAGTTTAATTGAAGACAGGAAGGACACAGGCTTTGCTGGCACCAGGGAACATTTGGACTTTGCCCAAAGCAATATTTAGGTTTGCCAAACCTTAGAATGATGCAGGGATATTTTTCCGGAAGAATTCCCATGACTCCACAGACATTGGGGCCACATGGAGACTTGGGGTGGGGGTTCACTTGAGACCAAAGACTTGGGCACCAGTGATTCACAACTGCTCCTCCATCTTGGAACTCCAGATAGCACAGCTCCCTTGATGGAGCAGGTGAACAATCAGGTCCCTTCTGGTCGGCAGCAGTTAAGACAGTTGGAACATCGTCTAAGCTTAAACCTGTGAGCCACTCTAAGGCACTCCAATAACCCCCACCTCCTGGTGGTAATGCCCTGTACAATCCCTCCTACTGGGTATGCTGAAGGCATAAAAAAAAGTCACACACACAACTGGGCTTGCACTAGGTTTCTATTTTTGTTCAAAATATTAACCATGTGCACAAAAAACTTTTAGGATAGAAAATTTAGCAGTGTCTGTCTCTGAAGAGTGCATTTTATGTCTCGTATTTATTTTTATAATTTTTTTTTATGCTTTGCATGTCTTCAACTAAAAATAACATGAGACTTGGGGTAGGATGACCAGTTGGGATGGAGACCTACCCCTGCCCCCCTCTCCCCCCACCCCCACCCAACAGAACAGCTTCCCAGAAGTCATGAGATTACTCTTACCACCTCTGATGGTACATTTTGTCACCTCGACTGGGATACCGGGTGGCGAGACACTTGGTCAAACATCCTGGGTGTGCCTGAGAGTACTTCTGGATGAGGCTGGTGTTTAGGTTGGCAGACTAAATAAAGCAGGCTGTTCTTCCAGATGTGGTAGGCTTTGTCCCATTAGCCAAAGGCCCAGACAGAACCAAAGGGCTTTGAACAAGGGACCTAACTCCTCCTCCCTGGCTTGGCTGCGACACTGTGGTGTTCTTCCTGTCTTTGAACTCTGTGGCCCTCTGGAAATGAGACAGCAGCTGTGCAGTTGGTTCTCTTGATTCCTGGGCCTTTGGACTTAGGCTGGGACTGCACATGCACCCTCCAGCTTCCAGGCCACAGATCTTGGAACTTCAGTGCCCATTAGCATGTGAGCCAATTCCTCACAACGAATCTCTACATACATCCCGTTGGTTGTGCTTCTCTGCAGAATGCCCACACACCACATCCATGCCTGTCTTGGTAGGTGAATAAACTGTGTGGGGAAAATTCCTTCCGAGGCCCCCTCCATGGCTGTTTGATCCCTACCCTCTGGCCCAGCACTGATCCGTCCGGGAGTTCCTAGGGCCCTGGGGGAGCCCTTAGAAGCCAGCGTTGCCACTGTTTCTGCACTGCTGTGTCACTCACTCGGGCAGCCTGGCTGTGGGCCGCCTCATCTACCTGTTCACCAGCTGGCCACTCTCAACTCGCACTTAAGATGGGATAATGGGGCATGCAGCACTCCTGATTCTCTTCTCCATGGTCTCTCAACTTCACTCACTCTCTCCTGCTTGGGATACCTTAGGACGGGGCCCGGGCTAGGCCACTTTCTGGGGGCAGCTGTCCTGGGTACTGAGGTATAGAGTGGCACTCCTGACCTAACTCACTTAATGTCTAGAGCAATGGTAGTTTTGACAACCACAAATGCCCCGGACAGGGCTCACACCACCAGGGCAGAGCTGCAGCTGAGCCCTGCTGAGATCCCACCTCCAACTGGGCGGAGCACCGTGGGGAGCGGCCTGTCTCTAGGTCTGAGAGTTCTTTGGTGACCTGTGGATGGCACAGGCTACCTTCACAGAAGCAGGTCCTCAGCCAGGCCCTCCAGGTGCAGGTTCTGCAGCTGGGGGTGGGCTCTACCAGGGTGAGGGGCCCCCTGGGTGATAAAACTCAGTGGAACTGTGAAATGTGCATGATGGTGCTCTCATGTGAGAGCCCACGCGAGATTAGTTTTGATGGAGGGCTTCCTATGCCATGGCAAGCGCTGCACAGAACCCTCGGGTTAGGGCCAGAGGCAAACCCAGGACCACTTCTCTCACCTAGAGTGTTATGGGAGGGAGGCTCTTAGGGTTCCAGAATGGAGAGACCACGTGCTGAGAACATACTAGAAAAGTAGCACAATAACCCTACTGCCTTGTCTCTGGAAATTTATGTCTGTCCTGTCTGCCAGTCATCCTTTCAACTTGGGGAGATTGGGACACAGAAGCCCGGATTTGCTGTTTCTAGAACCACCTGAGACCCCTGGCACAGGAAGTGCTTACAGCTGCATTGTCGCACACGTTGACGTGTCCCACATGTTGACATGTCCCACAGCAGTGGAGCCTGGCCCGTCTGTGAAGTTCAGGCTGGAGGGTTCTGGGCACCTGCAGCAGGGAGCGTGGGCAGCACTGAGGTCCATGCAGAGATGAGCAGAGGTCACGCTTTTTATTACCCACACATTACACTCATTGCCACGACTACCACTCAAGAGTCAGGACACACCTTCCCGGATGCATGAGGGACGGTGGGTGGCTGGTGGTGGCCCTTCTTCCTACAGGTCACTTACAACACACATGAATCTGATCTACCTCAAAGATGGGCGAAGACCACCAGGGAGCCTCCAATGCCCCAGATGCTGATACCATGGCAGGTGACGGGGGCCAGCAGCACTCCGTCCTCCCCACCCCGCGTGGGCAGGAGTTGAGGGGATGTTCCAGGCAGGCAGCTCAGCCACCAGCTGGTGCAACTGCCCTCCCCAGAGGCAGCGCTGGTGGCTGCATGGCAACTCAGGCTGAGGCAAGTGGCACCTGAACAGGAGGGGAGAGCCCTCCAGGAGCCTGGACATGCCAGGCTGGCAGGACAGACAGGCTAGGATGGACTCAGGGGCCAGGCCAGGTCACCATCAAGCCCCTGAGGTTTGTTGTGAATACAGGGAAAAGAGGGTTGGCGATCAGATCGACGAAAGGAAAGTCACAGAGGCTGGTCCTGTGTTCCCAGGATGCCCTACCCCCACCAGAGCACAGGGAACAGAACTATCTGGAAGGAATCTGCAACTAAGAGCTCCTCATGCAAAAACCCGAGATCCAAGGGTCTGGGCAGATACGGCCCCCCGACTGTGGCTGGCAGTGAGCTTGTCCGAGTGGGAAAGTGAGAGGTCGATGCAGAAAGCCACTTTCACCGGCCCTGGAGGCCCCTGAAGACAAACCAGGGTGGGCGTGGGGGCGGTGGGCACAAACCCTGTTCTCAGAGTGGCCCAGGGGCTGTCTCCATCCCAGGATTCTAGAAAAGACTTTAGTGAGAGGGTCTTTGGGGGGCGAAGGGGTGCTGGTCTACACGCACACTGCTGGCTCTGTTTTGAGAAGGGTCTGGGGGCCCTGGGAGTACAAAAAGGTAAGGAGTGGTAAAAGGAAAACATAAAAATAATAAAAATCTGGCTTAACATGCAGGTCCAATTTCTTTTTTTCTCTTGGGCAGTCCAATGGGAGAGAACAGCAAATCGTGAGGCTTCCAGTTGGCCGGGGAAGACCCGATGGCGCAGGAACAGCTGCAGGGAAGACACGAGGGTCAGTGGCCCTGGCCGGACATCAGGTCCCCACAGGGCACCAAGACTTGGACAACACTAAACCTCATTAACTCTTAGGATCGCAATAACCGCATTTCCGCGGCTGGCAGCCCCTGTGTGCCCAGTGAGGTGGACGCCACGTTATCAAGAGTCTTACGTCACTCTTAACAGCATTCTGGTCAGTGATAGGAGGCATGGATGGGCCAAGAGGCTGCACCACTGGGCTGAGGCGGGCAGTGGCCGGATAATCGAGGTTTGTGTTATGACACTCTGACTTTCACACAATGACGAAAAGGCCCAAGGGCACATTTCTCAGATGCACGAGGATGTGGGGCCTGGCCTGAACCTCCAAGTGTGGCAACCTCACCCACACATCTGCTGAGGCCACACAGCCTTCCCGCTCATGCAGACAGCACTGTGCCAGCGCTCCTTCTGCCCACACATCACCTGTAGGTGCTTGGGAACCAGCCATTCCAGGGAGCTTTGCGGGGTTTGAGGCCTTGACCTGAGCCATGAGCCCGTGGACAGGAATCTGGGTTCAGGTACAGATAGGACAGCTGGGTCCCGATGGCCCTAAATAGTCCCCAACTGGTCCAGGCAATTCAGGGAGACCCTCCCAACCCTGAGGATTCCCAGCCCCCTGGGCTACAGGGGCAACTCACATGGGCAGTCATTCCTGCTGGTCCTCATTGCTGGCACTGGGGGTCCGACTCCGCATCTGACTCCGGAGCTGTTCTATCAATTCTGGGTTCTGCTGCTGCATCTGCTGGGCAAACTGCTGGCCCCTACAGGGAGAGCGGAACCCGGACTCAGTGGGGGGCTTCCTCTGGCCCTGCCTCCTAGGTGCTTCTAAGCCCCCAAGCGCACCCCTCAGGGCCATGTGGCCATTCCCTGGGAGACCCGGTGCCTCCATTCCCGTTTTCCCCTGCTGTGGGTGTGTCCCTGCCCGCGGGCCCCACCAAGCAGGCCTACTTACGCCTGGATGAGACTAGCCAGGTCATTCTGCGAGGGGCTGGTACCAGGGGTCCCCAGGGGGTTGTGGCCACCTGAGATCATCCCGGACATGCTGCAATGAGAGAGCGTGACTCAGACCCCACGGTGGCCCTCTGCCAGCAAGCAGCTCTCTGTTGCTGCCAGGCAGCCCCCCTTCTCCTCTCTGTCTGCAGCCCTGTTGATTTCATCAGCTTTCCCAGAGTCATTCTTTTTTGGTTTAAGGACAGTGATTCTCAACTGGGCGGTTGTTCCCCCCAGGGGTATCTTATGACCCGAAAAGTCAGACTGTGACTCCATGGATGTGAAGTGTCCAGAAAGGCACATCCAGAGACGGAGCGGTCATGGTGCCAGGGTCTGGGCGACTGCTAACAGGGACAGGCTTTCCTTCTGGGCTAGAATGTTCTGGAACTAGACAGTGGTGGTTGTACAACTGTGGATATACCTAATGCTACCGACTTGTAAACTCTGAAATGGCTACAATTAAGTTTTATGTATGTTTTTACCACAATTAAAAATTCAAGCACATGACCTAGAGGAGAATGGATTTTCACTTACAGCTGTTGAACTTGAGGATTGTTCATAAGGTTTGATGCCTGAGGAAAGGGAACAGACTGGTCAGAGAAAGGAAGCCTCCAAACATGATCTTTAATGGAAATTATTGTGTTGTGATCACTTGTGCTTCTCCCACCCGAGCCTATGTGTGGCCAGCACTGGCATTTGCTCTTCCTGGCCCTTCCCCTTCCTGGACCTCCCTTTCCATACATACATCTTACCATTTTAATCCTCTTTTGGACTTGTATTTTTAGAAAGATCCCATGGCACCTCATCATCTTTTCCACCAGGTGCTTAGCTCCCGCTACATGGACATGTTTTGGTTCTTTTAGTGAGTAACACGCTGGACACGTCCCCGATTAGGACTCCAGACACAAGTTGCTGGGTGACGGCTGGCCAAAGACAGATGCACCAGGAAGGCCCCAGGAAGCTGCACCGTCTAGGTCTATGTGACCGCCCTGTGATGATACTGCCCAGTGACTCATTTCTAAGATCTTATCCCTGTCGCTAAGGCCCCATGACTATTTCCTTAGGACCTATTTCAAGAGGTGGATGAACAGGAAATGAGTGGAGTTTTCCCAGTCATGGCTGACAAGGATAGGCTGACTCTTTCTGGAAAGGGTCAGAGAGAAAATATTTTGGCCAGTCAGCTTTGCCCCAACTACAGTGAAAGGCGCTCCATGTGGACATGAGCGTGGCCACGTGTCATAAAAACCGCAGCAGCTGTCACCTGTCAACCGAATGTGTGAGGTTGAAAACAGAGGCCATCTCGAGGCTGAGTCCTCCCACCAGGAGCCCTCTGAAGGGCTTGTGCACCTCCCCCCAGGTCCCTTTAGGCGAGAGGTACCTCTGCAGGAGCCCAGGCCCCCCAATTTAGAAGGTGCGATGTCCATAGCACAGAGAACGTTTGTCTGCCTGCTGGTGGGCTCGGGGCCGCCTTCTTTCCTTCTTTTTTTTTTTGATGGGACCCTCGTCGGTGGCCGGGGATCGAAATGGCGCTGCAGAGGCTGCGGGCAGCCTCGCAACCCAGCGCTCAAGCCCTGCACCACCAGGGAAGGCCCCCGCCTTCTTTCCTTCTAATAGCTCAAGCCTCCCTGAGGTGGCACAGCCAAGAGTGGAGATGTCCACACAGAGCACTCAGTGCTCTGTATCATCCTGTCTGAACCCCAGAAAGCAAGCCTGGTGGGGTTACCACTGTTCCCACGCTTCTGGGGGAACCCAAACATGGGAGTGCTATGTCACTTTCTGGGCGATCCTGCTGCCAGGGGACTCTGGTGATGGCTGGGGAATTGGCAGCTGTCACAGTGGCATGCACCTGGCACAGAACGGAAGAGGCCAGGGACGCCTTTAACACCCCAGTGCCCAGAGTGCCCTGATGCCAGCAGTGTCACAGCTGGGCAGCCCTGGCCTAGAGTAGCAGCAACACAGGAGAGGCAGGTGGGAGGTGTGGGCGCTGCAGGTTGGGGGAATGGAAGGGAACCCTTACCATGCTCATGAACCCTGGGTTGTTCAGCAGGCCGGCGATGTCAAAGCTGCCAACACCTCCTGTCTGTGGGGTGACAAGAGAGTTAGTGACCTCTGGTCAGGGATCTGATGGCTTGGCCCCAGCAAGTGAGAGAACAGCCTTTCTTGGATCCTGTTTCAAATTCTAAGAAGTGATCCCCTCAGAAGTTCCCCCAATGAGAGCAAACAGGCTCAATGGTCAGAGAGCGCCTTGAAAGTGGCCACCCCACAATGTCCATCACTTAGGGAGATGCCATCCACATCTTTATTTCTTTCTTTTTTAAAATTATTTATTCTAACAAGAGTCATTTTTTCCGAAAGATTTATTTATTTATTTATACAAGAACCAGGGTACAGGCCAGATTCGCGGGAGGGTGAGAGGATTCACCGGAGACAGAGCGGGGAACAGAACAGGAAGACTGACGAAATACACTGCTAGGGAAGCAGCGGGCGAGACAGGAAAGGTCTGCCGCGCCATGTGGACCCTCGCTGGCTGGCTGGGATTGAACTGGCGCTGCAGAGGCTGCAGACAGCTTTACAGTGCAGCGCTCAACTGCCTGTGCCACCAGGGGAGGCCCTCACATCTTTCATTTTATGCTGCTTCGACAAGCGGGACTTGCGGACCCTAGAGGGATGGCCTCTCCCGGGGCAGCTAATTCCCACAGTGAATAATTCACAGCAATCATGCCTTGCATATGCAAACCAGCCAATCCAGAGTCCACCCTTCAGCCCTCCTCTATGGGGCCCTTACACCTGGGACACCACCCCATTTCAATCACCCCATAGCAGGTACCAGACAACCTGAGGCAGCCCCTATACCTCAGAGCCCTGGAATCATTCGACTAGCCAATCCTAAGCTTGCCACAAGAAAGGCTCCGGCCCATGATCCCCTTCCCTGCCTCCTGACTCACCCCTGATTCCCTGAGCAGCCCTGTGGCCTCTGCAGGCATCTGTGAGGACAGGCCTGTTTCTTTCAGAGAGGCACTTTTGCATCACACATCCCACCACACCCAGGTGCAACAAATGCAGGTCCAAACGCACTCTTTAATGCCCTTCTCCTTCAAGCTGTGACAGCTGGTACTGGGCTGGCCTGTGCTCCTGCCAGAAGCAGCCCTCACCCCCAGGGCACTGCTGCCCACTCACTCACTGGACTGGGCGCCTCTCTCAGCTTCAGTTCTGCTATCTTGAGATTGGACTTGTATGTCTCGTTGTCGGGATCCAGCTCCAAAGCCTTCTTGTAGTAGGCCACAGCCTCTGTGTGCTTGTTCAGACTGGAGAGCGCCAATCTGAGGGAGATGGTAGGGCTTGGTGGGTGAAGTGCCAGAACCAGAGAGCTGTCCCCCTTCCCTTGGCCCCTTCACCCCGACTGCTCTGGACGTCCTCATTCCATGTCGGGCAAATGGGCCCAGGAGACTGCATGAAGAGGGCCGGGGGGCCGTGTCGGGAGGGAGACATATGGAAGGAACTCAAGGACACAGGAACTGGTACCCTGGGGGCTGACAGGAAGGACTCTGAAGGCTGAGAGGGGACAGAGGCAGCAGAGGGCAGGTCTGATGAGACACACTGGTC